CCCCCACCCTCCCAAGACCCAATTTCTGCAGCTCTCTTTTGAACCCCCCTCCACAACCCTCCGCGATGTAGTCGACATCAAAGCATGTAGCACAAAGGGAGGGATGCTCGTCTCTCTCATTGGAGTCCCCCAACCACACACACTCGCTCACATCAAACCTCCCTTGTGGAAGAGACTGGATTAGGATGGTGGGGTACAAGGGGGGTTGGGGGTAGGGGGTGGTTGTTATAAAATGTCCCCACGGCATGTCACCACTTAAGGATTTCTGCATGCCGTAAAGGCAAGGGCCATTCGAGCCGGTTATGCTCGTCGTCGGTGTGAGAATGTGGCGAGTGGAAGTCTGAATTTGCAGAAAGTGAAAAATGGCTCCCAATAAGTCGTCAAGAAACCGAAAAGCCCCAAGTTGTCACGATTGGTAACATGTCTCTTAAATTCTGACATTTTCATCAATTTTGAGAACGCGATGAATAGCCTCGGTGACGTCTCAAATGGGCAAGGAAGACATTTTTATTCTGGAATTTCAATCAGAATTTCCATAATTTGCTCACTAGTTCCCGACAAGTCCCACGAAGTAGCTGAACAATTTCAAATTCAAATGGTTGGAACGGACTGAGAAATGCGGAAGGAGCAGATTCTTGAACTAATCTATCACCACTTAAGTGTTTCTGCATGGCGCGCAGTCGTTGTGATGATGAGTTGAGCTGATTTGGAATATTGTTTATAGACGTGCCGCAGTCTAATTGCAACCACTAATGAATCTGGATCGGTTCTATTGTCGGTGTTTGGTGTCATATAATAGGCTGACCATCATTACATTTGGTTGTAATTACGCTCCTCCGTGTTTCCTATTTGGGTCAAAATCGTAGTCAACCTATGACAGATGGACAAAGTGCACACTCATGCTTTTGGAGGCAGTAATTTGTACAGCAATTCAAGTCAAGATGTGTTTCCTTCATAGTTAACTGGAACTCATTCAAATGGGGAACAGGAGACAAGGCAATACGTGAGCTCGGTCATCCCCAGTGGTGACTCATCGCACCCAAAACAAGTTTTCCATTAGTGTGAAGAGGGAGACTGAGGCGAAAATCTATTTACTTCTCCCTCCCTTCCTCAAGTCTCTTGTTTATTTTCAGGAACAGACAACAGGGACAAGGACTGCGCTATAAAACCGGTAAACAGTGCAAAGCTGCTGACTCTGATCCCCTGACCCACTTTAGATACACCTTGCTGAATATTAAACTACATTTGTTGCACACGAAAGCGTGGCGCGTCACCGTTCAGACCGTCACCTTTGCATCTTCAACATCGCAAATGTCGGCCTTACTTTTTTATTAAAAAAAAAAAAAAAACTTGCAGTTTTTGCTTTTAAAATTAGTTCTGTAAACTCTAGTTCTGTAAAGCACTTTTCAGGAATTAAGATTAGAGATTATTTTTTATTCTGTAGTTGATTTCAAATAGTTATAAAGAGATTTTCTTTCCTGTGTTTACACGCATATTGTGGGCTTGAGATTTTGTCCAGGGGATCAAAACATATCCTGACGTATAACAAGCGAGTGGGATGGTTTAAAGTACTTCCAGATTATTTAGAATGAGTGGGACCGGATTTAATAACCCCCAGGTGGCATCTTTAGCCACCTGATAGGACGGGAAGTGAGCGGTAATGCTTTAGATCAGTCCGTTTAGCTTAATGCTAACAAACAACACAAAAACCCAAAGACGTGCTAACAAATACTATCTGCACTCTTAGCTGGATGTAAACGAGGGGATTAATCTTCTTAATTCTTACTCCACCATCTTTGTGGGAAGACGAGTCACTTTTAAAGTCCCTTAATTCGAGTCCCTCAGCAGGTGCTTAGAATGGGTTCTGCCGCCTCGGATCACAGCTGCTCGTGGAACACAAGGGGCCCTTCTATGTAGCGTCACTGTCACACTCCAGACCCTTTGAGCCTCCCGAATAATCACATCATCTTGGCAGAAAGCCAAAGAACCCCCCCCCCCCCCCCCCCCCCCCATCTCGTTCTGTCTATATACCTTCCGGGCACAACACTGCAGTTTGTGGATCACACCTTAGGATGTCATCACAGCTGCACCGTCGCATATCAGCACTCTTAATCCAGTTTTAAAGAGGAAATGGGCACATAGCATCCATCGCTGATGGATGTCGGGGGGGCGGCGGGTTTTTGTCTTTGTGGGGAACTAAGAAAATGCGATTATGAGCTATGCTGGGGGTGAATTATTTGGAGGAGTAGCTCCGACTTTTACTCGGGTCGTATTATTCGAAAGTGCAGTGATTCTCTGAATGTTGTTGCCAAGTACCACCTAAAAAAAGTAAAGTCATCATATTTTGAGAAAAAAAAATACATGTCAATAAAATGTTGGTATTTTGGGAACAACAACACCCAAGTTCACAGGAATGTCGTGTATATGTGAAGAAAAAAAAAACGAAGCCAGTTTTGTATCTTGTGGGCAGAGCGGGATAAATTTAGCTAAAGGGCGTAACAATTTGCAACACTTGTTCTTGGCTTCTTCTTGCAGTGCAGGAGGAAAATAAACATCGGTGCAGAAAATGGAAAGTGCGCCCTGTGTATTCCATATGTGCTCGTATCGCCGCTGATCGCACGTCTTGATATGAGCCCGGAGGTGATTATGTAAGACGTTGTGAATCCTGTTGCCTACTCACGCCAACTGTGCCCACTCGACTGCGTGTTGCCTTCAGGGAGTCCGAAAAGACTTGATCGTGCTCCGTGTGGACCAAATCTTGGACACAGGTTGAGTGGTTAAACATTTAAACGGGACAGTTGGACAAAAAAAAAAAAAACGGCGCTTTCGATGAACTCATGGATAGAAATTCAAAATGGCCGCCCTCTGAGATGGTGCTAAATTAATATTCCACAAACCCAATATGACTCCGAATAACGTGGTTCGACTAGTAGGGGGCGATCACAATAGTGCTGGTGTACCAAATGGAGCAACCAGAGCGTTGTTGAGAAATTGGGTTAGAGGAGAAAGGAACAACAAGCTTATCTGTTGGCTGCATCTCTCGAGGAAAACAGGCCACCAGCAAAATTGCTCAGAGTGATTGGATGATTGCGTCCTATTCCCCCCCCCCCCATTAAAACGGCTGCATTCTTTTTCCAGTTTCCTGCTACACCTTCACCAAACCTCACTCGCTGATTTAACTGAGCGGCCAGCGCATATTAAGCCCGGAGAACAAACCCCGAGCAACAAGTGACGACGTTTTGTTTCCCAGAAGGCACGTGGCCTATTTTACCGGAATACACCTCCAAACTGTCAGCCATTTATCTCTGTTTGTTGGCGCTTCTACCTGCCCTTATTGATTTTCCCGTCCACCGCATGCCAGTAAGTGCTGCGAGGCCAGTCATTCTCGTGGCTGCATTGTAAAGCTCCACAGAGTGATGTCCGACGTGTGTACTCGTGGCCCCTCCCCCTCGCGCGTACTCCGAAATTGGTTTCAAGCGAACGAGAGTCTGTTCAAACGATTTAGTCCTCAATTTGGGATACGGTCTGGACATCATGCAGACCAGCGCAAGCAAATGAGCGGGCGGGAGCTGATCGTAAAACATGCAGGAGAGCGGCCCTCGAGGACCGCAGTTGCCCATCTGTGTTTTAGATGTTTCCCTCCTCCAACACAGATGATGAGCTGATCAGTTCAATCGGTATAATATCGAAAGAAAAAAAGACACTGACTAAGTAGCGTTTTCCTTTCCTTTCCATCAGTCTGCCGCCCAGCGTCAAGGCCAGCCTGTCTCTTTCTCCAACCGGGCCGGGACGGGTCGGCAGCGGCGGGAGCTCCCCGACATCCAAAATGGCCCCCGGTGGAGTCGGGGTGCCCGTGGAGGACATGCAAGCATTGGCCATCACCACACTTTCTGCTGCAGACGTCACCAAACAATTTGAGCAGATTCGCGAGCTTGGCAAGGGCACGTATGGCAAAGTGGACCTGGTGGCCCACAGGAGTCAAGGTGAGCGCTGGCGGCACATGTGCAGCATTTCCGGGGGGGGGGGGCAATGCGCATGATGAAGAAGACTAATCGTGTCTTGTCTCTGCATGCCCCAGGGAGACGAAGGGTGCGTCCGCGCAACACACTCTCCGTCGGCGTTTCCTCATGTTTCCGTCTGCTCTTTCCAGGCACTAAAATGGCGCTGAAATTTGTGACCAAAAACAAGACCAAGCTCAAGAGTTTCCTGCGGGAGTACAGTCTAACAGGCTCGCTTAGCTCAAGCCCGTTCATCATCAAAGTCTTGGACGTGCTCTTTGAGACGGAGGACAGCTACGTATTTGGACAAGAATACGCTCCCGCCGGGGACCTCTTCGACATCATTCCCCCGCAGGTAGCGCCATCATGCTTGTCTCCACCAATCATCATCTCCACTCCGACAGAGCTGCTCCAATCGTGTTCAGACGCCGCACTTTTAACAAGCTCTCCTGGGGCCCGAGCCTTTTCTCGGTTGTATCGCTGTGAGAGCAGCTCCGACTTTACTGCCCAACTGTTTCGTTTGGCTTTCTCATTAAAATTGCAATTTCAGCGGGGGGGGGGGGGGGGGGGGGAGGGGGGGGGGGGGGGGGGGGGGGGGGGGGGGGGGGGGGGGGGGGTGGGGGGGGGGGGGGGGCAATGCGCATGATGAAGAAGACTAATCGTGTCTTGTCTCTGCATGCCCCAGGGAGACGAAGGGTGCGTCCGCGCAACACACTCTCCGTCGGCGTTTCCTCATGTTTCCGTCTGCTCTTTCCAGGCACTAAAATGGCGCTGAAATTTGTGACCAAAAACAAGACCAAGCTCAAGAGTTTCCTGCGGGAGTACAGTCTAACAGGCTCGCTTAGCTCAAGCCCGTTCATCATCAAAGTCTTGGACGTGCTCTTTGAGACGGAGGACAGCTACGTATTTGGACAAGAATACGCTCCCGCCGGGGACCTCTTCGACATCATTCCCCCGCAGGTAGCGCCATCATGCTTGTCTCCACCAATCATCATCTCCACTCCGACAGAGCTGCTCCAATCGTGTTCAGACGCCGCACTTTTAACAAGCTCTCCTGGGGCCCGAGCCTTTTCTCGGTTGTATCGCTGTGAGAGCAGCTCCGACTTTACTGCCCAACTGTTTCGTTTGGCTTTCTCATTAAAATTGCAATTTCAGCGCAACACAAGACGAGAGACGTTTGTTTCACTGTTTCCTAGCGGAGAAAATCCGTGTTCCGCCTGAACTTGAGTTTGTGTTTTGCTTTTAACAAGTCGGTGAAACACGGTATGATTTGGACAAATGTATTGGGACGCCTGGTTAGTGCTGTACTGCACTCGGGCTTCCTATTATAAAGTGTAGCATCTTGAATGTTCAACCTAAAACATAATCAATCAAATTAGGTCCATGAATTATACGCTAGCTGATGTGGTTGAACACATCCGACATTTCTGTACTCTTGCGTGCTATTTTTTCCCGTTTTGTTCTGTTCTCAGAGTTCTTTATGTGTTAACATTTCAACCGCAGCGTATTTCCTTTCTTCTTGTCTTTGTCTTCCTCTCAGGTGGGCCTGCCGGAAGAAATGGTCAAACGCTGCATGCAACAACTCGGTCTGGCCCTCGATTTCATGCACAGTAAAAGCTTGGTGCACAGGGACGTCAAGCCAGAAAACGTGCTGCTCTTCGACCGGGAGTGTCGCCGCATCAAGCTGGCCGACTTCGGCATGACCCGCCGGGTGGGCTGCCGCGTGAAAAGGGTGAGCGGCACCATTCCCTACACGGCTCCGGAGGTGTGCCGGGCCAGCCGCGCCGAGGGCTTCCTGGTCACCACCAGCCTGGACGTGTGGGCTTTTGGAGTTCTGGTCTTCTGCATGCTCACGGGAAACTTCCCCTGGGAGGCTGCGCTGCTAACCGACGCCTTCTACGAGGAGTTTCGGCGCTGGCAGAAAGCCGGATGCCCCGTGGGAACGTATCCGTCTCAGTGGCGCCGATTCAGCGACGACGCCCTGCGAATGTTCCAGAGGCTTCTGGCTGCCGAGCCGGAAAAACGCTGCGGGGTCAAGGACATCTTCTGCTTTGTCAAATACGAGCTCGTGAGCGAGCTCAGGCGCAGGGCGTCCTATCGCGCCAAGCGAGGCGAACGGTCCGGCTCGGGGGTGTGCACCGGCAACTGCGCTTCATCTTCAACCACTTCTTCCTCCTCCTCCTCCTCGTCCTCACGCACCACCCACAGACACCCGGAGCCTTCAACGCCTCCCGGAACCTCCTGCCTTCGCCCGGCTCCCCTCAAACGGAGCGTCCTCTCTGACCATCGAGAAGAAGCCGGACAGCAACAGCCTCCAGGACGCGACAAGAACAAAAGCCAGATGGTGATGGCCACTGCGATTGAAATCTGTGTGTAACTACATGACTTTTTGCAAAGTGCTTTTTATATGTAAAGTCCATCTGAAAAGGCAGTTTAAGAGAGAAGCTTAGACCACACTGGAAATAATCTTCATCCCTTCAGCAGCCCGGACTGAGGTCAAAGGCCTTTTAGGTTGGGATTCGCGGCCAAAGACATCCGAGAGTTCTACCGCGCCAAGAGAAGCGAACCGTCCGGCTCGGGAATGTGCAATGGCAACTGCCCTTTGACTTCGTCCACTTCTTCTTCCTCCTTACACACCTTCCCCAGACCCCCGTAGCCTCCCACGCCTCCTGGAACCTCCTGCCTCCGTCCAGCTCCGGTCAACTGGAGCGTCCTCTCTTTCACCAGAGAGGAAGCTGGACAGTAGCGGTCTCCAGGAGAGGAACAAGAAGCCACCGCTGTTTCAAAACTGAGCACACTTCCATTCATCTGCTTTCTACAGTGTACCGCTAAATCTGCTCGGGGTCCGTCAAGCAACAGGAGCCTATCCAGGGCTGCCCTGGTAACCGTAGTGTATTTTCATCATGTAGATCGCCAACGGCGTAACTCCCACAGACACCCGGAGCCTTCCAGAGAGGAGGCTGGACAGCACCAGTCTCCAGGACGGCAATCAAAAAGAAAAGCCAGATGGCGATGGCCAGCATTATTATCGCCAAACACTACTGAGACATCTTCTGCAGACTTTGCTCCTTGGCAGGACACGCCAAACATTTTTTTTTTTTTTTGTGGTGGTGGTGGTGCTAACGATAGTAACACATTCTGTGGAAATGACTTCCCCCATCACTTGTCACTTTATAGCACACCTTTCGGGCCCCGGGTTCCACCTCAGCATCCGGTTAAACGTAACGCGTTACGGCTGAGGACGCCAGTTTGGGAACGAGTGCTTTCCCCGTATCGCTTCAGACGCTCCAGATCACTCAGAGGCCGTTGATTCTGGCGCAACCTTTGACTTCATCGTCCACTGCACTACCACACTAATGATCATCAAACGGACCTCCACGTAGCAGTGCGCACGAGGCACCGTGTCTCGCTAACGTGCACCACCTCAGGACACTTGAGTGGATCGCTTGCCGTTTTATGACTCATCCATTCCAGTAAATCCGTTGCAGCTGTTGGACTGCTGAGCTCCATTTACGGGAACATTTTATGGGCGCCGAGTTGCAAGCAACAAGAAGAGAATATGTTTTAATATTGTTTTTTTTTTTTTCTATTCGCGTGTGTGTGTGTGTGTGTGTGTGTGAGTGTGTGTCCGTGTGAGTTTTCCAATACTGAAGCACAAAATGTTTTTTTTTTTTTGAAAGGATGAGGAATCTCACTCCATATTTTAGACGTATTTGGTATTTAAAACAACAAAAGTGCTCCGTCACATCAGGTAGTTCAACTATGTAGCTGTACTCGTTTTCTAAATCAGGGGATTTGGTCAGGTTAACGCATCGTATGTAGCAACTCAACCGGGACGGCGCGTGCAGTAAGGAGATACTCCTTTAGAGAACCTCGGAATAGAATCTTTGAAGATGTGTGACACAGTAGCTGCTGCTTTTCCGTCAACGATGAGTGTTTTTTTTTTTTTTTCTCTCGATTTGATTTGTTTGTAGAAACTGAACGCTTTGTACAGTACATTTCCGTTCGCAAAGTGGCGGGGGCTCCCTCTTTATGTAATTGGAGCGCCAGGTCGGAATTGTTTGAAACACTGGAAATCACGCGGCTACATCGGCTGGCTTTCTCTGGGATGTTTTTTTTTCCCGCGAGCGATGATGAAAACCACTCGAATCGCAATCGCCGCAAAGCCAGCAAGATGTTTTTTTTACTCGTGTCTGTGAGTTCGTTGCGGTTCAATCAAAGGGCCAGCCGCTCAGTTAACTCTTATTTCTTTGTCATTAAAATGCAGGAAAGCCAACTTCCACAAGAGCAAAACTTAAAACGTTTCGTCAAATTGCACAATTTTGAGTTCACCCAACATTTTTTTTTTTACAGTGTACACCGCATCCAGAAACTCATCACAGTGCTTCACTTCAAAAAAAAAATCTCAAAAGGACTGATTGGATCCTTCTCTTGAGCCTCCAAACAGTCTCAGCTAATTACAGGAAAGCGGCGTGTGAATCCTTCAGCATGCGCTCGTGACCACGCTCGTCCTTCTTTTCCGTGCGGAGACCCGCTCATGTTTGTGCCGGTGTTGTTTTCATCATCCCTCGTCCCCCCACCCCCTCTAAGTCTTCGCGCTGACAGCCCATCAGCTCTGTTGCTATAGCGACAGTGCCACACTGCCGCCGTCGTAGGGCTTCTGTCCTCCTCGAGTCTAATTGAGCCCAAATTAAACGACTTTGCTGCCGCGCACGGCCGTTCGGAACAATTGCTTTGGTTTATTTCTGTGGACGAGACCGGCAGAGATCAAGATAAAATAGTTATCAGTTGTCCATCGAGTCTCATTCTAATGTCAACATTTTTTTTTTTTTTTGCAAAGGCAATTGATGAGATACAGTCCTATGCTTTTGCAGTCAATGGAACTTGTAAAGAGCCTTTTTTTTGTCCTTCACGGTACAAACTGCACTCATGTCGCGCCGACTGCAATACTTCAAGAATGCTCCCGAGCTGCAAAAAGTTAAAAACTGTCTTACTTCAAAAAGTGGCCTCCAGTCTAACACACGAAAGGTGAGTCATCCACACCTCCTCGCTATCCGATGCCCCCTCTGGAAAAAAAATAAAATAAAAAATAAAGAGTTGGTGCCCCTCGGTAGCTGCAATAATATTTTCTATGGCCGGTTAATTTCCCCCAAGCACTAAAAGTTCGCTTGGGTGCACTACATATGGATTTGGTTGGCGGGTGTGTAGGCGGGAAATAGAAATAGCTCCAAAAATAGACACCGCCTTCCGATAAACACCGTATCCATTTATATGAAGAACGGCCTCTCAAATAGATACTTCCTTCAAATAAACACCTGGTTCCTCAAATGGACACTTCCCGTCACAATTGGAGGACACGTACCACCCATATATACAAATAAAGGCCTCCTCCCGACTGTTTCACAAACATATTGCGGCATCACGTCACCTCCACTAATTGCAACGTGTTTCCAAGGCTGTCATCAGGGGGTGGGGAAGGGGGGGGCATCTAAAAGACAAATCGATAGCGGCTCACCTTGACCTTCCAATTCTGACGCGTCGCCAGTCGGACGAGCGAGACGGTTGCAATTAGCCTGGGCGTCCGTGTTGTTGGCTGGGTTTATCTGCATCGGCGTAAAAGGTCAGGTTGACGTGCACAGCAGGTGCACGTTATTCACGTTATATCATTAAAAAAAGGTGCTGTGAGCCACTATGACGCGATACGAGGCCGCCCGATTGTTACATTCTTCACCAAGCGATGCAAGACGTCTTACGTGAGCATCGTTGTTCCCGGACTGTTCGCGGACTGTTAAAATCACAATTCTCACGTTCAAGGACGGGTGTTGTCAAATCTGAGAAAATTCTTACCGAACAAAAATGTCACTGTTTACTGCCATCTAGTGGAAGAGCATTTAATTGCTCCGCCTGACGATATACGTCACTGGCATGGATAGAAGAACTCAAATGCATTGTATGGGGTAATAATAAACATTTTCAGACCAATTCAGCAAAATTTGATCATTTTCCGTGACACACGTGATGGCACGTACTGGTTGGATATTATTGCAATAAGCAAAACCAATTTTTGAATTTTTTTTGGGGGGGACAGAGATACGTTGTTGTAGAAACTTGTAAATACTCTGTGTCTTTAATAAAAATGAGAAAGATGTTAATATATCTTGAAATAAAATACAGTCGTGGGCCACTTCTTGTGACTCCTGGAGGTTTTTTGGTGGTGTTTGCTCATCTCATCAGTGAACACAAACCCAATTCAAGGATGTTTTCGCGACAGAACACTGGCGGAAAACGACCGCGGCGCGATCTCTTGTCATGATATGCCGGAGAGACCTTGGTGGGAGTTGTTTATGAGTTTGAACAGGGATTCCCAACTGTGGAAGACGTCTGGTCAAAGCGAATCAGTTCAGACAGCAGGAGAAAGGAAAGGTCACCCGTGATGCGCGAGCTTATGAGACGAGGAAGCGCGCCTTCTGTGCTCTCGAAATTTTTCATTAGATGAATATCCTCCGAAGGTCCTCCGTGACCAAGCAGGATAGGGTGTCCTTGTTTTGACTTTGCTGACGGATTTAGAGCAAAGAAGGAGCTCATCAAAGGCTAAAGCAGGGATGGCGAAAGTATGGCCGTTCTTGCCCCCTGGCCCACCGAGCTTTTTAAATCACAAGACCCCAATCATCGCATTTGGGTCATTTCAGAATTCCAGGGCACTTTCTGTCCACTTTTTGACGCTAACGCACGATGCGGATTGCTCCAAACCTGCTAACGAAACTAGCATCAATGTTATAGCCCTTTAAGCGATGGATGTGTGAAAACAAGACAAGCAATACAACAACAATCACAGGCATATATTCTTTATCCTCTGCTCAACTAAAATAAAAATTTTAAAAAAGAATAATACTGCAGATTACTGAGCTTAGCTGTATAAATAAAAAATGAAAAGTGACCCCTGTGCACACAACTTTGCCCACACCTGGTGTAGCTTATACATTACTATCAACTTTGTCATACCGCCAGCACTTTCTGTCCACTTTTTGACGCTAACGCACGATGCGGATTGCTCCAAACCTGCTAACGAAACTAGCATCAATGTTATAGCCCTTTAAGCCATGGATGTGTGAAAACAAACAAGATGAGCAATAAAACAACACTCACAGGCATATATTCTTTATCCTCTGCTCAACTAAAATAAAAATTTTAAAAAAGAATAATACTGCAGATTACTGAGCTTAGCTGTATAAATAAAAAATGAAAAGTGACCCCTGTGCACACAACTTTGCCCACACCTGGTGTAGCTTATACATGACTATCAACTTTGTCATATCCGCCATTAAATGCGACATCCTTTTTAAGGAAAGAAGGTGGCACCGAGGGACATTTCTTCTCTCCAGCTGTGATCCGCATCGGGAGAATCTGTGTCGGATCACAGCTGGAGAAGTGATCTCGGCGAACAAAGAGGGATAAAGAATGTGTGGCAGGGGAATGAAGAAGCGGGGAGGGAGGGCGTACGCAAAATGGGACAACTGCGTTTATCATGTTAAAAAAACGTTCAGGAAGCGTCAATTCGGCAAGCTTTGATTGCTTCCTATTGGGAGAACTGCGCGAGTGACAAAGTGAGAAAAGGTGGAAGGTGTTAGGGCCCAAAGTGTCAATAATTTGAGTGGCTGGAATTATTTTCCAGCACCATTTTTCTTTTCAAGATCCTGAGAGAGTTCGTAGCTATAAAGGTGTCATATTGAACTTCTCGTCACCAGTGTGAGAGTGAGAATTGAACCCATCTGCTCCCCATCCACATCTGAGAAATTGTGACACTACTGAGTCAGATGATGCTCGGCCTAATAATTGGGCCTAATTTGGACATTTTCACCTCGGGGTGGACTCACTTTTGTTGCCAGAGGTTTAGACGTTGAGTGGCAGAGTTATGCTCACATATTGTACATGAGCATTAAAAAAAAAAAAAGAAATAGCTTTGAAGGCCATTACAATCCAGCGCGACATGGAGGAAAAACAACGAATGCTCTGCTGCGCAACTTCTTTTTTGCCAATGCCAGACAAAAACTCTCAGACAGTGTGCGGGGCTCGGACTGCGTTGCCGTAGCAACCCGAGTGGAGAAGAGGACACGACGCTGTTTTGGGGAACCAACACGCCATCGTCGGAATGCGAATTGGAATCGGATGTCAACTTAATTGGCCCGGCATGTTCAATATTATCTATATGCCATATATACATGTTATCTTGTGTTAGCGTCAGGTTAAATGGAGTTTTTTTCAAACAGCTATTTCTTTTTAAAGATGTTTATTGTGTTAAGCTGTTGCATTTTCTAATCAACACTCACACACTCCTACTTGTATCTTTTGATGGGATTGATTTCCTTCAGAGAAAAGGCAAACCTGCCTCAGCTCGGAAAGCGGGATGAATTCATCATGCCGAAACACAGCATTGTGGATCATAACCCCAAACTATTTTCTCTCTTCGCCTGTGCAGGGAACATTTCAAACCCGCTCGGAGATGTGGTCAACAATAGCTTTGTCGGCTTGTCATTACCCGCTTGTAAATCGAAAAGAATCCCGAGGACGCTGCTCATGCGAGGCTCACCATCAGTTATTTTCAATCATGCGCTAATGAGTGCGCTAATGAGTCGGGGCGAGGAGAGGGCGAGCGTGAAGCGCGTGTGTCTGCGACTGTCGGATGCCGGGCAAATGATTCATGTCCACCTTTGTGAATGGATAGCAGGAAGTTAAATGTGTCAAGTCGGCGTGATCATATACGTCAACATTTCCTGTTTTTTTTTTTTTTTTTTATTGTTGCCAGTGCAAGCAAAGATCAATCATTCACTGAAGTCAGCTGTGATCACTCCCACAGCGGCGCAGCCATCTCTTTAAACCACGATAAGAAACAATGTTAAATTACGCCATATGAACTCACTACAAAAACAAAAAAAGCAGCATAGTGCTCGGAATACAATACAGTATGACAAGTAAATAGTTCCTATGCTGCAGGTCAACACCTGAGTGAGTCACAGCTGCAGTGAACGTAATGAGGTGAAGACTGTGTCTAGCTTCATGCTAGATTGCTTCTTCTCGTGGGCTTTGCGTGCTTGAGACATGATTAGAGTGTGCGTGCGAGCGCGTGTTTAACAACACACACTCTGCGGGGTTTCATTGAGTCATTAATTAAAACATATGCCATCCAGTTTAGAGTGGTTATTTTGCGTCGGCCGTAAACACTCTCGCCGTGTTGCCGTCATCGATTCAATTCAATTCCTCGACGCGCGCGGAAACAAGATGCGACTTTTAATGAAGCAAATGGGAATCCTACCGAGTGAGAGAAAGGGAGAGCAATCCACGCTCGTAAAAGATATCACATCGTGGGATGGGGGGTCGGAGGGGTTAGATGCCACCCCAGTGGAATCATCTGCAACACTGCCTGGTTGATTATTTTCTATGAATACAACTTGCCAGTGTGTCTCTCTCTGGTGGGGAAAGAAAGCACTGATGAATTAATAACAACAACAACAAAAAAAAAAGTCCAAGGTGACACAGACAAATCTCTGCTTGCAAATGACTTGGCAACAAGTCAAGAGTGCACAAACTCATTTCCATGAAGGGGGCTTTAAAAGTTGAAGTGATCAAAATGGAAAGTTTGGGAAGGAGAGAGGAAGCCGACAGGAAAGCAAGTCGCATTTGTTGTCTGCAATCTCATCTACGAATGACCTGGCCCCAATCTGTTTCATATTAAACGTACAGTAGCACAAAGGTTTGGTCAAGGTTAAAGAATTAATGAAAGCGTTCCTACATCGTGACATAATTTGACTGAGAACTCAAATGAGAAATTAATCCCCGAAATGATTTGCTCAATCAGTCCGTCAGATATTGTCCGATCTGTGACGACCCCCTACTGCTTCTCCACCTACAAAAACAAAACACAATGTTCTCAGGTTTTCGCATGTGTGCACTTGTTACGCAACACACTCGGAGCTTGATTACATTTTGTCACGTTACGTAAGTTGCTTACGCCATTAAATTAAAATGCAGGATGAGGGGAGGGGAAAAAAAAGGTAGTTTAAATTTTTAATTGTTTCCTAAGTGCTTTGGCTTGTCGGCTTGACCTGGGTTAGCCGTGAGGAAGTTGTCCCGAATTCAAACTGCACGCTCTGCTTTCAACACTTGCAAGTTTGTTGGTTATTGGAAAACTTTTGGACGGGGGGGTTGCAGGGGGGGGGGGGTCTCTGATCTGTTATTGTGGTGTATTCATTTTGGAATAAACGAAATGAAAAAAGGGGCGCAAGGCGTCACATCGCCGCCTGTCCTACGGCCAATCAAAATATGCCTTGTCGTATGACATGAGTTTTCAAAACGAAAATGACGTTTCCGCCTATTGAGCAAGATCGAGTCAAGCTACCACCAACTTATGGTCATTGCAACTTATGGAGTCAGTTGTGAAATTCTTCTTCATGCGTGTCTCTATGTCTGTATTATACTGCCCCCAGTGGCCATGTTGTGCACACCAGTAGGAGCAGCACCATGTCCATTCAACCATTATTTGTATATGTGCCTTACAAACATACATTGGACCGCTCATGACCTCTGGTCATATCATTCCATTGCGATTCCTGAGAACTCTTTTTCACGCTATGTCTGCATCACTTCATTTTGAAACACTCACTCGATGTAGTAAATTGCCATTTGCCTTTGCACAAACATTCATTCATCAATCTGTCCCCGCACTCTCTCACTCCTCCTCTTCATCTGTCTCACTCCGTCACCTCCTCGCCACACACATGCACACATTTCCCATTTTGTCTCCTTTCATTTCTCGCTTCTCTTCCCGCTACCCCCCCACCACACCTTCTCTCCACACCGAGGACGATACCCCACCCCACCCGAACACATCTGCGTCATTCTTGCCATGGAAATACGTCAGAGGCACTTAATAAGCATCCTGGGGGGTGGGGGGGGGGGTCGAAAGAGACAAGAATGTGAAGTATGTGGGAAAGAAATGGGGGCAAGTGGGGGTTTGGATGAACAGAATGGCTTTGAAATACGCTTTTATGCGTTTACGTCATCACTGGCAATTAGGAAACCTGCAGAAATGATCATTTGCATTCATCCGTTTTTAGATCAGGGGTGGGCAAAGGATGGCCCGGGGTCCACAGACAGCCCATGCTGTTCTTTAATAATCAAGACGCCTGTACT